ATAACTCTATCTGGCTCTATCTATAATTTGGCGTATTCTAGTTTAATTTTATTTTTTTCAGGTGAACTACAATTGTTATGGACAGATCGTGTATCGGACCAAACTCTTGTCAGTTTAAGGCTATACTTCCTACCTGAAAATACGCCTGAAGGGAGATGTCAACATGGAGAGGTAAGTGACAGAAAGGGCTACCTAGTTTTTTAATCTTACTTCTTACTAGTATTATAAATGCGAAAGTTTAGATAGATGGATGGATGTTTATTAACGTTTGTAGCCTAAACGGCTGAACGAATCTCCATGAAATTTGGCACAGGTTTAGAGCATAGCCTGGAAGAACGCATAGGCTACTTTTTATCCCGGGAATAGTTACGGTTCCCGTTGGTTTCATGAATTTATTTTTTTAATATTTACTCGATCATTCTGCAACGGTTCAACATATCTTATTGAAATTAGCCACAGATATAAAACAAAGTCTGGAGTACACATGGGATAAGGTTCATCCCCGAGAAATGTCCGGTTCCCGAGGGATATGTAGCTTTTTGTTATTTATATAGTTCGTATGTTTACTAATACCACGCGGAAGAAGTCGCGGGCAACAGCTAGTACTTTTAAATAGTTTCCCAACGATATTTAACTATTCGTTAGTGTTTTTGAAACTGAAAACTTTAAGCGTTTCTGAACTACGTAATTTGAGTTTTATTCCGTTGGAACTAAGGTGTAAAATAAATGGAAACTTCAACAACTCGCTATTAGATTTTTAAAACTAGATGGAATCAAAGCGTGATAATACAGTTGTGCGATAATTTAGTCCAAGGTATACTCTCTAGTGATTACTACGAAAGATACATTGTACATGAATAGTAGAAAAATGATTTATGTAAATTACAAAAATAAGTAATCCGTCTTCAAGAAATGTATACTTGTAATTAGCACGTGTATTCCAAGCCTTATATTTAAGGATGTTTAAGCCAAAATCATTTGAAATTTAAATCTTCCTTGTTTATCATTTATTGGTAACTATATGAAATTACATTCAATCTTGCTTCTTGCTAATATTATAAATGCGAAAGTTTAGATGGATGGATGGATGTTTGTTTGTAGCCTAAACAACAGAACGGATCTCGGTGAAATTTGGTACAGACGTAGAAGATACTCTGAAAGAAAACATGGGTTACTCACTTTTGTTTTTTTTAACTTCCACGCGGACAGAGTAGCGCGCGAAAGCTAAGTACTTCATAAATGCGGAAAGGGGACTTTTTCATATAACTAGCTATTGCACACGACTTCGACACACGACACGACGATGTAATAATAACTTTATTTTATTGTTTACATTTGTCAAATTCCCAATTGATTGTCAAAATTACGGTTACCATAATCACATTGCTTCCTTAATGGTCCCTTCTCCACGTGAAGATTTGTTCCAATTTATTTACCACCTAAGTTTAGAGCGTGAAAATGTAGCCTAATGCGTGTCGTAAGTGTAAGGATTTTTATTAAAGAAAGAATTATTCGAACACACAAGAAAGTAACCATGTGTTCTTCCAGACCTCTACATCTATGACAAATTTTATCGAGATTCGTTCAGCAGTTTAGGCTACATACAAACAAACATCCATCTAAACTTTCGCATTTATAATATTAGCTAGATAATATTATTAATACAATAAAACTATTAAAATGTCTTATTCGAAAGCTTTGGAATAATTTAATTAAATCCATGAAAGCAGAATCGCGTGAACAAACTACTATAAATGATAATACAATTTTTTTACACAAACCTTAAAAATCGAGAGCGCCGTTGAACGGACGAATATCTGCTGTCCCGCTCCCACTTGCAGAGATGTATGCGCCGTCTCTTTCTAATCCCTATTTGGTAATACCAACTATTTCATGGGTGAAATTACGACCGGTGTGTGGTGCAAGTTATGAGAGATGGGTTTTTGAATGAAATATTTTTAAAATAAAACATGTTAAATTTGAAAGTAAATTTCACGATAAAATTTAGTTTTTCTCAGTTGGATGTAAAAAAAAAACATTTTTTCTTTTTTTTGGCCTGTTTGTGTGATTTTGCAATTTTATTGTACTAGTATTGTCATCAATCATTGTTATCAATTTTGTACCGGTATTATTTGATTTAAGTAACAAAAATAACGTTCTCCATCTAGGTTAGATAGAATTAAAAAAAAATCGTTTGGACCAAACGTTAAAATGCTTGCCAAAGTTAAAATGTACTTTAAGCCAAAGCGATAACCGTGGCTTTGCCTTGTACTGGCTTTGGAATAATTTTGTAGTACATTATGGGTGTAGTGTCGCTCAATTCTTCTTGATATTTGTGTTTATTGTTTGCATTATATTTTTGTTATCAAACATTAAATATGTTGTTAAATAACTAAATATTTGTGTTACAAATAAAAGTTAAAAGATATATTTCGATAATAATTTATACTTAGTTTTTTCGTCAATATATATTTTTTTATGATTTTATCGTAAAAAGAACTTGACAAAGTTGTATTATTTCATAATGAGTTTTTCCTTGTTTATTTTTCACATTTTAAAACAAATACTAAAAAGTATGTAATAATAATAATATAAGTTAGTATCAAAACGTATCAATCCTAATGCAATACAATCGTCTACGACGCGCCATGTGACGGTTTAGAACAGAGAGCTTAATGGAGTCGACTTGTACCTTTAAATTTTTATTCTTTGATATATATAAAATCCAGTTTTATTCTTTAACAATGTTTATATTAATGTCACGTACTCGTGGTGTCTTGTCGCAATTATCTTCCAAGAAGGTATAAGGTTAGCGGAAGGGAAAGAGATAACGAAGTTATTTGCTACCGTTAAGGGTTACCCAGGATATGCTTACGCTAAAGATAAAGTAATATTATATCGTTGCAGGAACACTCCTTTTAATGCACTAGTAGTAACTTAAATTTAATAAAGATATCTATAGTAATATTATAAAGAGGAAAGGTTTGTATTTTTGTATGTATTGAATGAAATAACTCAACTAATGGTCTGATTTCAAAAAATGTTATACCGTTAAAAATACTAACGTTATCAGTAACTAACATAGGTTATGTTTTTGTTATTTTTTAATTTTAGCTAGCAGCTAGTAAATGTTAATGTTAAAGTTTACAGTAATTGTCTATTTTAATAGATAATAATGAAAAATGTTGAGAATAACTTTCGATATACAGATTTTAATGTATTTTGTGTTCAAACCGGTTGAATATAAGATCGCAATCATGCCCTTTCTTAAGTTTTAAATAAATTTAGCATGTATGCCGAGGTTGCGTAATATTGTACACTTTGATTATTCGGACAAATGTATCGAAAGCTAATGGGATCGAATGAATTCGTCTCGCTAGGTATTGGGCTATCTTATCGCGGGTTCATTCTCTGTGTAAATAACAGATAGTGTGCTCGGCCGTTGTACCGACAGCAGGTGAAGATGGTAGCATTATGGTTGTTATTTTTATAGTTTGATAATAGGAAACGAGTGTGAGTAGAGACATTGGATACAATGATAAAATCAAACATTCCTGGCTTTTGATTAGTGGCGCGAGATGATAGACACAGAAATAAAATTTGGACTCATTTTTAAACAGATAGTTAACATACGAAACATACTCAAAGCTTACAATTTTTTTTTATGTTAAAGTTAAAGTGTTTTACTCTATTTATCATGGTTGTTTAAGTTGATTCAATTATGTAACGTCTTAAGGAAATGTTTTTAAAATATTGAGTCACATTAATGGACGTTGTTTATTTTTTGCTGACCGTTCTCAAGTAATAATAATGATATTTTGTAAGTCGACGAAGTGAATACCTTTTTTAATGTCCGCTGAGCGATAAGCAATGCATACGATTCTCAAAGTTTAATTATTTGTGGACTAGTACTATACTACGTATTCACTCGATCAGACATAATTAATGATTTGTTAGTATTTATTTTTATTATTTGTTAAATAGTGTTAAGAAGAAAATTAGTACCGTGCTCTAGAATTGATGCAACACTAGATTGTCGGCATAATCACGTCCCTAGCTGACAGCTGTCAATGTCATTAGGATGGATATTCGCGCGCATTCCTGACGAGATCTCAATGCTAGTGTTAAATTAATATCGCGTAATAATTATATTAATTGTTTGAAAGTAGTTTTCATAACATATTTCAATGTGGATTTTGAATGGAAATTTGACTTGTACCAGAAAGACACGATATCTCTGTACTGAGTTATGAAGATTTGTTTTTCAATTTTAATTACGGATATTGTACCGGTTCTTATTAAATTATCACGGAATAAGAGCCGTTGCTGATTGTATTGAATGTCATTGACACTCACCTCGGTTGAGGACAGGTTTATGATATTGAATGTACGGATAGTACAATTGTGTGATGATTCTAAATTTGTTATCTATATCACTTGTTATTGACTTAATTTAGCTTCATAGATATAATGCAAAATATACAGGATTATTCTTTACGAACTGGGCCATGCTTTGTGGAGATCTCTTCTACAAAGTTTGTGATCCGTCCGTTAAGAATCAACCTTTATAAGACGATTATTGAAACCGATCTAGATACAATTAGTAATGAATAAAGAAATGAACCCGACGTTCTTACGGTGAAGGAAAACATCGTGATGCAACCTGCACATATCGGCGAAGAAATTCAAAGATATGTGTGAAGTCAACCAACCCGCAGTGGGCCAGCGTGGTCGACTATGGCCTAGTCACCCCTTATTAGGGTAGGCTCCGAGCCCCTCGGTGGGGACGTTTAGTGAGCTGGTGATGATGATGAAAGAAATGAATGTTCTATGATATTATGAATATAAGGCGTAAAATGGACGATTTTAATTACCAAGATTACGTAAATCATACTAATATATAAATGCGAAAGTTTAAATGGATGGATGGATGTTTGTTAAAGTTTTTATCCTAAACGGCTTAACAGATTTCGATTAAATTTGGTATAGATGTAGAGGATAGTCTGGAAGATCACATACGCTACTTGCATTTGTTTTTTTAATTCTGCGAAGACGGAGTCGCGGGCGAAAGGTAGTATTGTTTATAATTTAATTGAAATGTAAATTGCATGTCTATAGTATTTTATACGTACGATAGTTTAGTGGACTTTGATCTCATTAGTAGAGACAAG